GAGGGGAGGGGAGGGGGACTTGCCCTCGCCCCATGTCCCGCATCGTCCCACTCACTGCCTGTGGCTGTGAGCTGCTCTCACAGCCCAGTATGCTGGTTGCACAGGTCTGTGTCCGCCCTGTTCCGCACCTCTCCAGGAGCCTGGGGAGCTGCACGTGTTGCCAAGATCTTGGTGCAATAAAATTACGTGTTTTTGTGAGTCCTTCCTGTGTCTGTTTTTTTCCTTTGATTTTTAAAAAGTTCTAGCCAACTCCCAACTATTTCCCCAGTTCAAAAAAGAGGTTATCTTTGTTGCGCTTCAGGGTGGCCGTCAGTAACCAGGAAATGGGTCACCAGTAACTGGAAGAAGAATCTTTTGGAATGGCCACTAAACCTGTGGGTGATTTTAAATGAATACCAAGCTAAGGAAACTCGGAAACAATATCGTCCTGCCAAGGCTTGTTGTCACTGGTTTGTTTATTTATCTTAGGAAATAGTGTTTACATTTCTGCAGGGAAAGATGAGGGAGAAATAATAGGTTTCACTACCTGCATGAGCTCTTCACAGTTGGCAAGAGGGGGGCAGGGGCTCCCACCTGCACTTGCCAGGTTTTGCGTGTGTGTGTGGACAGAGCAGGGTGTAGCCATTTGGTTAATGCCAGTGTGGTCCCTTCCAACTTGGCGGGTGTCCCAACTGCTTCTGCACCCACAGGTTGAAGGGCTTGGTAAGGAAAGACTCGTTTTTTATATGAACTAGAATTCTCTGTTGATGTAGGAATTTAACTTAGACTCATATGGAAATTGCTGGTCTTAAGATGGTCGGTCCTAGCCACAGGGCATCTGTGCTGAGCAGGGGTCAGGATCCAGCTGATTCCATGTGTCCTGGAAGTAGAGGTCAGGCTGGGAGGAGCAGGCAGGTGCCTGCTAGGGTGCCCATTGGCCAAGAGGTTACATTTGGCAAGAGCAGCCCCGGTGAACAGGTGACTGAGAAACTCAAGGAGTCCTGGGGCAGAGGTGGCTTTCCAGGTTAGGGGGCTCTGTTTTGGATTGTGCTTGGCACTCTCATCACCTGACTTCTGTGGCTCCTGCCTCTTCCTGCAGGGGCTTCTCAAAGCTCTCCATGCGATGTGTCCCACAGACACGGGGAATCTTGTCTTTGGTCTAGTCGCCTTAGGGGTTTGGTCACACAGCACAAAATGAGGACAGCCAAGGAAGAACAGGTGGAGTGAGACAGCACCAGGACCCAACCTCAGCGAAGCAGCAGAGAGTGGGGGCAGCCCACTGCAGCCCCACCGAGCTCTGTGCCAAGCAGTTCCCAGCATAGTCTGGCACTGGTGGGGGTGGGGTTCTGAGACCAGGTAGGTTGGTGATCCAACAGCAGTGCTGGGGGCAGAGTCCACATGCGTGAGAACACAGCTCTTCCACGGTTACTGCTGTTCTTGAACATCATGGTCGGTTCTGGGTGCGTGTAAACAGGAACAAGGCCCGGTTTTCTCCAGGGCTGGACTGATGTGCCAGGGTGGGTGAGTGCTGTTACAGAGACGCCGGGCCGTGGGCAGGGCTTGGCCGATTCTGCCCACCGTGCTGTGGGCGAAGGTGACATGAAGGCGTTGGAAGTAGGAGTCAGCCGGCAGGACTCACTTCGATAACCGGAGGTTGCTCAAGGTCTGGTTTGCTGTTGAGACGCCTGA